GTCCCGGTGATGATGATGATGATGATGATGGTGTCCGAATGATAATGATGTTGATGATGAGGATGATGATGATGTGATGATGATGGTGATTTTGATAATGGTGGCCCGATGACGGTGATGATGATGATGCTGATATTGATAATGATGATGGCTCCTCGGGCCTCTGGCACCATCTCACGGCTTCGCCGCATGTGTGATGGTCGTGACCCCCGCACTGATCAACCAGTCGGTGAGGTCTCTGCCGTTGACAATGTCAACGTTATATATGCCTTTCCTGACCCTCATGATGTCTTTAATTTTCAGGCACTGTTTGATCCTGCATGGCTTTTAGAGGCTCCGTAGATTTCTCGGAGTAAACTTCGGAGGCGTGGGTGGATATATCCTGGGATATCGGGTCTGTCTCGTCTGTCTGATGCTGGCAGGACTACTCGGATCCCCGACACCAGCCGCCAGAAGTGTAAGTTCTGCAGTACTCCTTTTCCTGGTCGCTCCAGAGGACAGGTTCCAGGAAGTAGGTTAGGCTTGGGATAAGTGGGTACAGAAGCGCTGAGAAGCAGGCACCCGTTCCGCCTGCGCCCACTTATCCCTGACTGTGCTTTTGCCATGCCTCCCCCCCGCCAGGCTCGCAAAGAGAGAAAGACTCTTGCCCGCCTGCCGCGCGGGGGATGTCTGTGCATGCTTCTCTAGTCTATGCAATGATTCTCTCTGACAGTCGGACAGTCGAAATGTCTTAGCGCCGACACGTCAGGGCCGAGTAGGCCGAGGATGAGTGGGTACAGAGGCGCTGAGAAGCAGGCACCCGTTCCGCCTGCGCCCACTCATCCTCCTTGTGTGCTGCCTTTTTCACCTCCCCCGCCCAGGCTCGCAAAGAGAAGCAAAGAGAATGTCTCTTGCTCCGCCTGCTGCTTGGGGCGACATCCTTGCACGCCTCTCTAGCTTTGCTTTCTCTGAAGCGTTCGTGTGCCGACACGTCAGGGCTAGTAGGCTAGGCCGAGGAGGAGTGGGTACAGAGGTGCTGAGAAGCAGGCACCCGTTCCGCCTGCGCCCACTCATCCTCTCTGGTGCTCTTTTCATCTCCCCCAGCCCAGGCTCGCGAAGAGAGGAAGGGCTCTCCGCCGCCGTGCTGCTTTGTCATGTCTTTATGCTGCTGCCTGGCCAGAGGTTGAGGCTGGAAGCCCAGGAGCCAGGACGCGGGCTCCAAACTTTATCGCCAGTCTTGCCAGCATCGCTTGTCTCGGGCCTTCGGTTATTCGTTGTCCCTGTTTTGTTCGGGTCGGTCCCTCGCTCGGCTCTGTTGGGTCCTGGTCCGTCCCTCGCCTCTTTCGGCCCCTCTTCGGGCCCCTCGCTCGTCGTTTCGGCGCCACGGGCAGGAGTGTTCGGCAGACGATCACCCGCGCGCAAATCAAAAACCGATGATGATGATGTTGTTGATGATGATGATGATGATGAGATTATGGTGATGATGATGGTGTTCCGATGATGGCGATGGTGTCCCGATGATGATGATGGTGATGATGATGAGGATGATGATGGCGCCCCCATGATGATGATAATGATGATGATGATGATGATGGTGATGAGGTGATGATGATGATGATAATGGTGTCCCGATGATGATGGTGATGATGATGATGTGGATGTCGTGGATGACGATGGTGTTGATGATGATGATGACGTTCATTGTGGGATCGATTGTGGTATCGGTAGCGAGATCGACAGTGAGACCGAACGTGAGATCCATTGTGAGATCGATAGTGAGAACGATAGTGAGATCGATTGTGAGATCGATAGTCAGATCGATTGTGCGATCGATCGAATGAAATAGATCGAGTGAGATCGATTGTGAGATCGATCGAGTGAGGTCGATCGAACGAGACCTATAGTGAGATCGATAGTGAGATCGATAGTGAGACCGATCGAGTGAGACGTTGGTTCCTCCCCCCCCCCCGAACCTCCTTATCACCCGAAGGGTGGTCGTATAGGTATATGATTATGCAAACATATGTGTATGCAGATGTATTTACACATACGTATAAGCATACATGCACGAGACATCCAAACATGTCGCGACTCTGTCAAACAAGGTCAATGGTAATCGAGTGTGCGCCTATACTGTCTACAGCAAGACATGGCAGCATCACCTTCGGGCAAAAGCGGCACTGTCATACCCTCACGCAGTCGAACATTGATGCACGGGCACATTCATTTGAGGAGGTTGCCTCGCCTACACTTCGCTTGGGAATTAGCGGGCTCTTCCGACCAAGTTTGACACACGTTCTTTGCCCTGCCGGTCGAGAACATGTCGCAAATTGCACAGAACAAGAAGCTGCAAGCACGGATGAGCACGTGCTTTCGCAACGATGGCTGCTGCGAGGCGGAGGATGCTGGCGGCGAAAAACGCGCGAATGGCAGATCGCCCAAAGGAGCAATTCGACAGGCACTGCTAAGGAAGGACCTCCTTCCCTTCTCTGGGACAGCGACGCCTACCACATCCACGGCTATGACACCTCCAGGCCTACCTTTTCCAGACGATGTGGTGAAGGAAGATAAGGTAGAAGGAGGGGCGGGGGAGGAGGAGAAGGAGGAGGAGGAGGAGAAAGAGAAAGAAGAGGAGGAGGAGGAGGAGGAGGGGGGGGAGGAGGTGAAGTGCTGCTGACGGGCTCGCAAAAGGATTTGGTAGCAGCCCTCCCAACCACCCCCCCCATCGGGCGCCGCTCCGCCGCCGCCGGCCGCGGCGACGGCCGCCTCCGCCGCGGCCTCGGGCGACGACGACGGACGGCGGCGGCGGCGACGGCGGCGACGGCGACGGCGACGGCGACGGCGACGGCGACGATGGCAACGACGGCGACGACAGCGACAGGCGCGCCCCTCGAACCCCAACAGAGGAGAGGGAGGAGGAGCAGGAGGATAGAGGACGAGGAGTGAGGCGTCGAAAGGACGAGCAGGTCACAAGATCATCATCAACGTGTTGACAATCAGAATGCCAAGTTGAAACAGCAGCGATGAGCCTAACGGCAGCGCAAACGGAATGGTACTCTGAACCCTGCAGGGTCAATAAACAAGGAAGCCAGACAGGATCTCGCCTGCGGGCTATCTCATCATCAATGTTGTGGTCCAGTAAGGTGGCGGCCAGCCCAGCAAGCGAAAGCTCAATCCACCAACGCCTGAAGCACGACCCGTCCACAAAGATGGGCCCCACAAGTCCCCGTCGACAGCCGGGTGCCGATACCCCTCGCAAATCGGCACGACCACTCCTGCCGCAAGAAGTTGTCGGGGACAACCGATCTCCAGGATGGAGAGGACACCGTGGCAGGCCAAGTCCTCGGCCTCAGCCGCCCCCTTCTGAGCCTCAGCTGAAGCAAGCTCGGACCTAAGCTCACGGCCTGGGGGTCAGAGCCAAAGGCGGTGGCAAAGGGTGTCTGCACCCTGGCCGCACAATTCGCAGCCCGCGTCGACCACATACCCCAGTGATCGGGCACCGTTCCTGGTACAACTAGCGGTACAGAAAAGACACATACACACCTTTTGAAAAGAAGAAAGCTTTTTATGATATAACGACGATGAAATCCCGTCGGTGCAAAGCCAACCCCCCTTGAACCTGGCCCCCAGACCCCACTCAAGGGTCTTCTGGGCATCACGATTCAACAAGGACCTGACCATGGCAGGATAAATCTGCCTGAGATTGTTATCCATGTCCTAACCACATCAGGCAGCCCAGTGAAGGAGAGCATGGTCCAGGAGATCATCCCAAGAGACGTCCTCATGGAACTGATAGGCCCAGAAACGCTCCGCGAAAGGCCGGAAGGCAGATTAAGCACAGCCTTCCAAGCCGAACGAAGCTTGGTAAACGAGTGAGAGTGGAAGTACCGACTGTGGTGAGACACCTAAACCTCTTTGGCCTATCGCGGGATGGGCGCCACGGCCGCCATCCACAGGGGGGGTGCGCCGTGGCAAAGCCTCAAAGCAGTGAGCGACTGACCACAGACACTCGGTTTAAAGGCCTTCCCAGCCAACTGACGAAGGAAGAGGAGTTCGAAGAAGCTGGTGGCCCCTGGGACTCCACACCCCTAAAGAGCACAATGGGGGGCGCCGTAAACACATTGCGACATACCTTGTCACCAATCGTAGGGCGCAAACGGGCCATCCCGTCCTGGGGGGTAGTGATGCCCCCCGCGCCCAGAAAGCATGAATGTCTGGCGTGGCCCGTGCCACATGCACAGGCACTGGCACCAGCACTGCCCTCCTCCTCCTCCTCCTCCTCCTCCTCCTCCTCCTCCTCCTCCCCCTCCTCCTCCTCCTACTCATACTCCTTCTCCATTGGTAGCTTCCCCGTCGTTCGCTCGTTCCTTCTTCTCCCCTTTTGCCTCATCCCACACCCACCACCCCTGGCGAAGGCAAGGGAGGGATTGTCCTGGGCACCAGGTGTAGCCATCCATGCTGCCTTCAGCAGCGAGTGCCGACGACGAGGAGGGGGGAGCTAGAGGAGGCGGTGGAGGAGGAAGAGAGGAAGGAGATAACGAGGAGCTGTCTACATCAAGAAGTGCATTTCGTCAGACGTACGTACACCTATTGCGCATGTCGCGATGCCAGCGGGCGAAACTGGTCGACTCATTGCAGAAGAAGTCCACACATATCCGCACGAATGGCGAGCACACGCCATGACGGAATAAGAACACGCACATTCCAACCAGGACAGAGCGCGCACCCGTTCCTCAGCGGGGTCTAAGAAGCGCAGCTCACACTTCGTGACGCCGAGTCGGGTACTCAAGGCAGAGCCTCCAGAGGGAAGCTGACAAAAGGGAGGAGGGAGGGCGAAGAGACGAGAAAGGTGGAGGTGGATGAGGATCGGGACGAGGATTAGAAGGTTACCATCATTCCCCTCCAACTCCTCCTCGTCGGCCTCCTCCTCCTCCTCCTCCTCCTCCTGCTCCTCCTCCTCCTCCTCCTACTACTACTACTACTGCTACTACTACTACTATGACTACTACTACTACTACTAC